AAATAATAGGGCTTTAGAGCCCAAATACCATTAATGTTATAGTATTTGGGCCCTAAAGCCCTATTATTTAGGTCCTTGGACCCTTATATACTCCCCATATATCCCTATATATCCCCCTAGAACCCCTTTTAAAGGGACCCTATTATTTGGGTCCTTGCACCCTCATCCATTCTTAGCTGGAAGGAGCTCTTCCATCTGCATGGGGGTGCCACTCAGGCCCCCACGGAAAGTTTATCTCGGGGTTTCCTAAAATTAGGGGTAGCATTGTTGGAGTCCCCAGAACAAGGACTATAGTATTTGGGGTCTATATTAGAGTCCCCCTATTTTGGGAAACTACCATCTAGTTCGGTTAGGGACAGAGACTGCAAAGTTCTGGGGGGGTTCAAATTTTGCTGGGTCAAAGGCAAGCCTCGAGCTCAAGGACCCACAGGATTTATAGGGTTCAGGGTCTATAGGGCTTGTAAGGTTTAGGGTTTATAGGGTTTGTAGGGCTTACAGGGTTTGGGGTTTATAGGGTATATAGGGTTTGGGGTTAATAGGTCTTATAGAGGGGGCAAACTGCAAGCTGTGATCTGGCAATGTCCTGCAGCCCCTAATCATGACTAGCACAGGTAACACAGGTGTTGGGCAATATCTTTAGCTAGTCCATGAAACATCCCTAAACACGGCAAGCCCTTTAGCCCCCATGCAACAAAATTCAAAAATCCCTACTAACCCCCAGGATTGCATTTTCCTGAGGTGGAAATGCCAAAGACCCAGAATCCTGCAAATTACAGGCCCTGAGAGTGCCTATAAGGAGATGCAGGGATAATGAGGAGGGTTTACTGTTTGGGGCTTAGGGTTTCTGGGGTTTCCATTCCGGACTATTTAGGCGTTACAGCCAGGGATCCAACTAGTGCAAAGTCGGTAACATTTTATTCCAAAGTAGGTAGAGTTCTTAGACTTAGGTCCAAGAGTCTGGCAACAGTACTGCATGATTGGTCGCTCCGGAATAAACTGTAGAAGAAACAGTTTTGTCACAGATTGAGTTTCAACGTGAATAATGCTTAGCAATGATGACGGACACAAGAATCCTTTTTCAGCACTGCTATTCGTATTTTTCCTGTTACCATTTTACTATGATTACTAGGTTTGATCCTATTACAATTATTGTGTTTGTCAGGTCTCTGCAGGTTGCATCCACCGGCTTGCCAGCGAAGAGCCCAGGCACCAGATTCGTCGAGTACTTTCTGGAGACATTGTGTCTTTATGCAATCCTGAGTAGCTAGCCAGGCCCTTGGTTCAAATTTGATGGCTTAACTATCAGAATGTTGGTGGCAGGGGCATGCAAAAACATCAGGGCTTGTGATTGGACCTGGGTGCCACAGTCTTGTGAGCGTTCGCCAGCTAGACACTAGATTGAGTCAAGGCGGCGGGTGCGGGGATGACCTGAGGCAGTGGCTGCCACGCTCATATTACGCACATCTATCCGCAGTGTCGCTGAGCCTCCATGCTATGTTGTTTTCTGGGGTTGGTTGTAAACTTTGAAGTTCAGTAACATGCACCATAGCAGTACCCCGCATTTTTGTGCCCTCACCCTCAGAAACAGGCCCCATCTGTTGGGATTGTGCGCATCCTTCATACTGAGACGGAATTTGTAGCCTGAATATACCAAGCACCATCACAGTGTGTGGACCCACATTTTGGACATCCATGCGGTTTGGAAAGGGCTCTTGTGAAGCCTGCGCTTGCCTGCATTTTCATTTGGTGTGATCAACTCATCAACATGAGGCCTTAGCCGAAGTGTAAGCCAACCTCAACCAAGCTCTTAGCAATTGTGACTTGTTGACAGAACCAGGCAACTCCAAGCAAGTCTTATATGTGCAGTTCCCTCCGTCAATCAACCCAACCTTTTTGTCATACTACGCATGTGTTGCAGGTACTTGCTCGTGCTGGCTATGCAGCGAGGAGGTCTCCAAGGCCACCTTTCGAAGACAAGTAGCCATGATATCTCTAGTTTTGCGGAGGCGAAAAGACAAGCCGCAGCAAGTTTCAAAAACAAGTCCATGCCCTTCGTAGCCAGCAATGATGAAGGATGAACACATTCACCTCAAAACTGTCAATCCAACACTAGGGTTGCCCGCAATGCTGAAGCACCTCTACAGCGACCTACGCAGCAGTCACCATTGCAAGACATGTATTGCAAGGCTGGATGGTAGATGGATCGGGCGCGAGAAAGACGTGGCAAATCCCACGCAGCAGCACCCCGATCATCTCCAGACTGGATGCTGAGCTGAAAAAGACAAACTGTAGATATTTGAAGATCTTGATTTACGTCCTGAGAAAGAGTAAGACGTGCTCAAAAAGGGCGAAACTAAACAAGCCGTGTTCGCATTCATCATGAAAAGCCATCTTATGTACAGCTGGCTTAAGGACTTGGCGCAGACGTCTGTGGCTCGGCTGGCATTTAGGCGAATGGAGATTCTTGGCAAGGGGTGGAGTACAGAGGAAGTAGACAGGTTTCTGGATGTGGTACAGGCATTGAACAGGGTCCACAGGTAAGATGCTAAAGAGCTTATTGGTATGGATAAAGATAGGCTGAGCAATACTTCACCACACGGCAGAAGGCGTGTTGCTGCATCCCTATTGGATTCGAGCGGTCTTGAAACTTTGGCATGGAAAGCTAGAAATATCCCTAGGGATCCAAATAGCCCAATGTAGGTAATATTTACAGGCCCAATGTAGGGATTATTTGTATACATGGATCCCTAGGGTATGAACTTGAAGAATACGTACTAGTGTTTCGTAACTTGCCAACATGGTCTTGACGCTTCCATGATGTTGCTTGGGGGTGGGCTTCCCAGGCTGTGTGCACGGCGAGGAACGTCTACTCTTCCTAGCAAAGTCATTTATCGGCCCCCCGTGCGCAACAGCTCAGGCATTATGGCCTCCAACAACTAGGGATTCCCTTCCAATTAGGTCCTTTTATCAGGGAATAGTCCACACTATGTGAGGGAGTAGTGGGCCCCTCATTTTGGGAAACTACCCAAAACTGTATACCAATCACTCCGAAGTGGCTGCCCATTTCGCCGCACCTCACACGCAATGTGAGGAGCAGCCTGCAACCCTTCTTTTGGCAGCTGGCGATGGCGGAGGCATGGTTACAGCTGAGCACTCAGATGTTACATTCAATGCCCATACCCATGATTGAACTAGGCTTCCTGTAGCAAGGAGATGAATCGCGATCCGAAGTGGCATGATTTTCGGCTTTACCTTTCATTCGCCATCCTATGTGAAGTCGTGCCTGTGGGCGAGCACCGGGATGTGCGTGGAGCGTCTTGTAGGCTTGAATGTCGGATCATAAAGCAGTGATTTACGTTTACAGGATGTCCATCACAGTTTTGTTGCTGCCGCTGGCATAAGTCATCCCCATATCGCCGTCATGACTAAGCACATCTGAATCTTTTCCTCCTCCACGCACATCCAATTGCTGCTACAATTATGAGTCTTGATGCCACCAGAAAGGTGAACAAAATGCATGTCCAAGCCCCAAAGCTGAGGAGTGCTGATTGCGGCACAGGACGCGGCATCCTTGTCCTTAGGATCCTTTAGTGGGCGTTGTTGGAGATGGTTGGTACCCTCTTTATCTTTGCCCCACACACCCTAGTTCTTTTCTACCAGGACCATGCTAGGGGTCCGTATAAGCCGCAGTCTAAACCAGACACGCCAACAGAAGAGACCAATCCATCAACAGTATTTTGTCATTCCGGCTCGAGGACCCGGACCTCCCTTTAGAATTGTAGTAACCCAAAAGCAGCAACTTTAAGAATGAGAACTTGAACCAATGCACTCTAGACCCTCAACTGTGAAGCTCTCAACCCAACATCAGAGACCCTAAACCTGAAGCCTGAAACCCTAAATCCGATGTATGCTCCCTCAACCTTAAACCCTACTCCCTAAAACCTGAGCCTAAACCAAGGTGTGGTCTCTGACTGTCGACGGTGCCTTGGCTTCGCCGAAGAACGGCCGCTGGTCCAAGGCATCCCAAGCACTTCCTGACTTCCCCTGGTTCTTCTTACGGGTTTAGGGTCTAGGTTTAGGCGAGGTAGGTTTTGGGTCTGGGGGTTAACGTTAAGGGTTAGGAGCTTCTCAGAGTCAGGGCGTAGGGTTCCATTGAATGGGCTTTGGGGTCTAGGGGTTTAGGGGCGAGGTTTGTGAGGTGGCGGTTAGCTGCTGCAGTTTTTTTGGGCTTGCTTTTTCGAGCGGAGTTTCGGTAGCTTGTCTTGCTAGAAGGTTTAGCGTAGCAACAAGCTTGACTATGGAACAAACCAAGTAAACATCCCCCAGACATCAGAGAACTCCAAGATACGCTCCCAAACCCGAAAGTCTGGTATAGGCCGTCAAAAGAGGCTAAGATTCTTGGCATGCTTCTGCTGCCGGGGTCGCTTGCTTCCATGGGAGTTTCCTTAACCCTTTACCCCATCATCATCCCGTATGCCGCATGTAGAACCCTCTCAAGAGACCCCTTAAGTTGTAGCCACAGAATATACAATCTTGGCGTGGGTAGCCCCACGTTGAGAAAAGTAGCACAGTTTCTCAAAATAACCTGAGGAAAATCCTTACCACCCCCACATACACCTTACAGTCCTAATCTAGCCCCTATGAACTCCATCAACAACAGTTCCTGTTTGATGCCAGGTGCCAAGTCGGAGAGCTTTGCCCATCTCAGGCAGACTCCATGGCTCTCGGGGATAATCAGAATCTAGTCAGAGAATACTGTAGTGGCTTCAAAGTAAATAGGGTCTTGGTGTAGACTATACTATAGATGGGGGTTCTTTCTGATTATGACCCCCCCCCCAAGCAACTAAGCAACTAACGATTCTAAATACTAAGGGGTCCCCCAACTAAGTTTGGGAAAAGTCGTTTGGAAGAATCCTGGAGGAATTCAAGAGGCAGGGCTCTTGGCTTTCCCGTTCAGAGCATGCCACTATTGCGATTCTACCTTGTTATTTTTCTGTATGCAAACGTTCGCTCAATTCCATCTTTTTTACGAATTATTCCATTGTGCCGAAACTTGAGTCTATTCCATCCCTGCTTAAAATCATTCTCCAACATTAAGTCATATAAGGGTTCTATCAGAGGTCATATTGATGAGAAATCGCGTTTCTACATCATGTTGCGTCTAAAAAGGAACGTGGACAAGGATTAGCGACGGGTTTTAGGGTGACCCAAAGGCTCCCACGCAGTTCCACTTTGGTTTTGTTCTGCTGCTCGCCAAGGAACTGAACAAAAGCCCTGCGAGTGCCTTTGCATCTCCCTCTGTTGAGCTTGCAAGCTGGCCGTCTTCTACATTTTCATGAACTTACTGTAGTTTCCGGCGTGGGAGGCGTCTCCCGGCCACCCGGCCATACTTTATGAAGCGATTTTGAGTCCTCAGTTCGGAAACCGTGTTTAAGAGTATGCGGAGCTGTTGCGCAACGTGTACATGAACGCCACCTGGCGATTGACCGTGCGTTGAACAGCCCTTGGAGTAAGTTCTTTCCATCCCGCTGGGCAAGATGCTATGGGGCCTGTTCTGCATGCTACAGTTTCTCGTACGCCAGAACGCTAGAGGTCTGCCCCGTATGTCTTGCCTGCCAAGGAACAGTTCCTTTCCAAGACCATCCATCCCAAACAAGCCTTTAATGTGACGGAACCCTTTGCTTTAGCACATCTATTCTTTAATCCACATATGAAGAGACATCTCAGTTTGATATGCTTCAAGGTTTTGGATTACTGGGTTGTATCCTACTCGTTTGGTATGCAGTAGGAGAAGTGGAAATGCTCATCTACTCCAGCTTCAATTTTCTTCTCCATCCTAAAAATGGACAGAAAATGGAAGCTATCAAGTTACGGTAGCCTGGCGCTCTAAACCCAAAACCCTCAACAGTTGTTTTCATTTGCTTCCCCTTCATCCCTATATATTCCCTAAATAATCCCTGTATAATCCCTATATTATCCCTATATACCCCCTATGTAGTGAATTAGTCCCCTATAGTACCCATCCCAAGGCCCTAGCTTGCAACTGGCAGGCCTGCAGCTACTTCACATCAAGCCAGCAATGGCTGCTTGTCTCAAAAAAGCTGGTCAATCTGCCCTTTCCCTGGACCCTTAGTACCTAATGATTAGATACTTCCCCAAAACATGTGTTATCATTACGAACACCAAATTCCCAAGTACCTAGCTATTGGGTACATGGACCCTGAAGGTTTCAGGGTTTTGGATCATGGTTTAGGGTTCACGGTACCGGGCCTGGGCACCCTCAGGCTTGGCGGACAGGGCTCCGGGGTTGATGTTGAGTTACTCCGACCTGTAATGAGTAGGTATGTGGTGTTTCTCGAAGCGGAGTCAAGCTGTGTACTTCTTGTGACTTGAATGCTTGAAACATAATGTAGTGTACCCCGCACCTCAGGACTCCATGCGTGCAAATGAGGACATGAACATTTCCATTTTTCAGACACTAACAGCACTCTCGCAGGCAGTGAACCACCCAAGTAAGTTCTTTCAGAATGCTTGGATGAAAATTGTACCTCCGGACTCAGAGTGCTTGATCACAATGTGTGCCCAGATTGGACTTACAATGTTTAGGGCTTCATGCACAACCCTCGTGCAAGTGCCCACTGTACTGTCACTAGGTGGGCATCCTGCGCTATGGCGTGATGGCCCCCCAGTGGCTGCTGAGCGCATCGACGGAGAAGGTCCCCACAGTGGGCTGAGTAGAAAAATGATGGTCAAGTATGGAAGCTAGGCTATCACATAGCTGTATCAGTTGACAGGCGACATTCTCCTCATCAGGCCCAGTGTCTGCACCCGTTAGTTGCGATCCACTACGCTCCCTCATCTGGTGATTACGAAAATTCAGGATTCCCTGTTGGGGGTCCTAGTAATAGGGGCACCATATATTGTTGTATATCACGCGTGTGAGGGTACCTTGCAGCGCGGCCTGTGCGCCACCTAAGTCTCCCCGAAAGTCAGGAGGAAGTATTGGTGACATGTCTGCAGCTTGCACCAGATTTGACGGATGGGGTTAATTGTCCTCAAGACACTACCATTGTTGCTTTAGTGTTACTACTAGTACTGCTATTGCATGCTATTGCTATTATTGTTATTGTTACTGCTACAATTACTATTAAAGAATTACCATTATTCTTGCTTCATGATGCCATAATGGCAGGATGTCTATGTGCTGGATGCTCTTACCGGCTCCGTCATGCACCAGGTCGAGGCAGGACCGGCCACTTTGATTGATCTTGTGGAAGCCGCCAAGATCATATGTATATATACATATACACATATATAATATGTAGACAGATATTTGACCTCTCCACAGCAGTTGTACAATCACTGGTAGTAGTGACAGCAGCATCCATCTTGTTGTCTGTATTGTTGTATCTGTTCTTGCGTTCACTCTTTTGTTTGCTCCTGAGTTCTGACTAAGTTTTCGGCTGTCCTAGATGTCGGCAATCTACGTGAGATCCCCCTGCGCGGCGTGCTTTCTAACGGAGTTACGGTGCAACCTTATGAGTCAAGTCCTGGAGAAATGTTCTAGTTGCCATGCAAAAAACAGGTTGTTACAAGTTGCTTTCCCCAACTTTATGCAAATTCAGCTTCCAGAGGCAGAGCTAGACTGCTACAACCACTCTCGTTAATTATCTTCAATTTTTTTTCCGTGCTCAGGATTCTGTTTCAGCAGCTCTTGGAACACAAAATCCTATAGCCACGGATTCAGCAAATGGGCTTCACGAATTGGCCATAATGAACATTTTATGCCAGGAGAACCTGAAGTTGAAGCATTCCATGTTTAAAGCAGAGCGCGAATTCATGGCTCAGAGAGGCAGAGAGACGGACAGACAGACGGAGAGAGAGACAGAGAGACACAAAAAAGGTAAAATCCGTTTTATGTGTGTTGTAAGAACTGGAAGTAGTTATCCAGTTCAGAGCCCAGCCCAGAAGTGGGTGCGACACTTGCCGGGGCGCAGGGTCAATCGCTCCAAGAAAGCAAGAAACATCACAAACGATGGAAAGAGCAACAGTCCCGAACTCAGCACGCCGTCACTGTTTGCCTCGTTCCAACAGTCTAGGATCCTGTGCCCTTTGCATTCCGCGCAAGACTTCTGCAAATACAAATTCCTTTAAACCCCCATCAACCTCTACGGACATTGAAAACCTAAGCACGATGCCCTAAACTGCTGGACATGTAATCCTGTACACTCAAGTGCTTAATTTATCCCCCTGAGCCCCTAGCCTCTCCCCTAAGCCGTAACTTAAACCTCAAGCGTAAACCCCCAGAGGTCTGAACCCCCTCAATTCAATTTCAGAAGGCCCTTCAAGGATGTATTGTACACAGCAGGGTGTCCTATCAAAACTTACTGCGAGTTGCTTGAACCCTTGTATTAAACACCTAGCGCCTCAGTTTCCATTTCATTGTCCATTTCTTTCTCATTTCTTTCTCGATTTTGCAACTTTTTAAACACGTACACCCTATTAATAAACCACATGGATAGTCCCTATGTATGGATGTTAGTTTCCATTTCTTTTCCATTCTTTTGAAAAGCCCCATATACCCCCAAAAACCCTTCTATCACCTTTTACGTCCGTATAACAGCCCCTTGTTACGATGCCATTTCTGCAGGGCTTGCGGACCGATGTTTGGGCGCTGAGATGGCGTTAGCTGCGAAAAAGATTGGGAGCAGTGCTGGGAAGGCTAGCCCACAACGTCCATGTTGGTACAATGTCCGTCCTTCAAATTTCGGGGTGCGCGGACGACGTCCTTTGCTTGAGAGAAGGGCCCACATCCATCTGGAGGTAACGAGTCCTAGCGTCAACATGATTGAGCCTCGTCTCTGGCCAGCACTGCCTGAACTCCACTCGCAAAGTCGCACCTGTAGGATTGTCGAAACGCTGCCGCTGACTGGCCGCATGCCATGTAGCAGTAGGGCTGGGTGGGTACTGCCCGAAATGGACATCTCTAAAAATACCGCGGACGCTACATGAAGCTACCATGGTGCACAACAAACATGCCACGGCCGAACAGCAGACAAAGTCTGGAGTGTGAGCATGTAGCTATCCTTGCCCTTCCTATCCAAGCTTCAGGCATACGATGTAGAGAAGAGAAGTTCAATAGGTTCAATAGTGAAAGACAACTAGATCACCACTTTCATTGATCGCAAAGGGTGTTTCTGTTTGCTAGCTTCCTTGGCGCCATGGCTTTCCAGGAGATCTGTGTCAGCAAGCAGTGGTCATGCATGCTGTTGTTTTTAAAGCCCTGCATGACCTTAAGTAGCTAACATACTGCAACACCATATTTCCCAATGTTTGGTGTACTTAGGGGCATGCAGGATTGACAGTATTCACCAGATTGTTGGTGAGAGAAGGTGACTAGAGATGCTATGACGAGAGAGAAACACAAGCGTCGGCATCCACACAGCTATGCTGGGAAGAAATTCCCTGAAGGGTTGCAGATGGCATGGGAAATCCTGCTGTTCATAGACGCCTTGGAGGAAGTTGCCGCATTATTCGGAGAATTCAGGAACTCAAACAGCCATCCATGGTGGATTAACAAGTGAGTGTGCAGGCGGCAGGAAATATGGAGGGACCTCTCCTATTGCATACCGCCAAGGGCTCTAGCAAAATCTCTTCCAACCTCCGTAAGCCCTTCCCCCCCAATCCATGAACCTTCAACACACCGTCAACCTGCACCCTCAGGAAAGGGTCTGTGGCTCAAGTGGGCTATAGCCTATACTCCTTACAGGGGATTATATAGGGGAGTATTATAGGGCTTATTAAGGGGGATACTAGGAGTTTAGACAATGGTTCAAGTGGGGAGAATCCTACAAACGCTATGAGCCCGGCTACTGGCCCCGGATTTTTTAAGCTGCGTATACAATCCATGCAAGTAAGATCTGCGGGCGCCGAACCCTGTCGAAATCCTCCGCGCCACCATTGAAACCTTTACCGAAGCGTTGCAGCTGCACAACTCTTTCAAGGAATTCCTGAAAGCGGATTCTAGCTTGACAGCCTTTGAGAAGGGGTCCAAGTGCATAAATAATACCTAGACTGGGCCCTAAAGTCTGGACTTGAGCCTCGTCTAAATTCCTTCAAGGGGGGTTATGTATTGCATAGGGGACTACTATAGGGCTTATTAAGGGTGATAATGGAGTTCAGACTATGGCTCACTTGCAGTGGGCTATTTGGATCCCTGTGGTTTATGAAACCGCGAGAACTCCTGTGCAACGAGCCTACACTGTACATCCATCGGCTACTGGGGTTCCCTTCTTCCTAGATCCTAAACTGAGCATTCCAATGCCCACAGCTGCTCTAAACCCTATCAAGACCCACAAAACCGACCGAACCGCAGCAGCCTGAATGATTTACTACCACTATTCTCTGGAAATCCGGATGTACTCATCGTTTACTATACCCCAACACCCATTCTGTTTTTTGCCTCTACAGAACTTTAGGGTTTTCAGTTTCATTTGATTCTCCATTGTTTTACCAAACCAGCTAGGCTACTATAACCCTAAAACTTAATCTTGCCCCTACAATCCTTGTACAGGGTCGAAGGCCATGCCAATGTGGCAATCAGTAAGGCCTCTACTGTAGACCCATGATTAATCAACCCCTCCTTTTAAAGGTCTTAATATTAGGATCCCTACTATAATCCCTATTAAGGGGAGCGATTTTTAATAAGGGGTCTACACTACACTGCACCAGGACTTCCAAGGGGCTGGCTACCTCCGTCTTCGCGGCAGGAAACCTAGCAGCGGGGTACCGGCACCTTTTTCTTCATTTAGGGTATACAGGGTCAAAAGCTTAACACGCCAAACCTGTTCAGGTTTAAGTTTCTGGGCTGAGTTGAGCCTAAGATATTCCCTAGGGATCCAAATAGCCCAATGTAATAGTGTTTACAGACTTTAGCGCCGAATGTAGGTATTATTTGTATACTTGGATCCGTGGGGATTAGCTTCTTGTCCTCAAGTTAGTGGCCAAGCGACTCGAGAGAGTCTCATCGTCTTTGGGGTTTTGGGGGGTCTACAAAAGTGAGAGGTCCACTTTTTGGGGGGTCCTTAAAATCAAGGATGATCAAGTGATTATAGTATGGGGAGGACATGAGGGGGGGACCTCTGTTTAAGCTCCCAAAACCTAAATCTTCAACCACTACCTGAAGTAGCGGATTACAAGCATATGAGACAATGGAGGGCGTATAAAAGGACACATCCACTATAGAGGGTGCCTATGGTGTTACTGTTGTGTAATGGAAGAGAGTTGTGTAATGGAAGAGAGTCAGTTTCGGAGATGCGCTGTGAAGGCTCACGCTGCAAGACTCCAAGTAGATGTATTGGGTATAAAGGCCTCAGAGCCAGGGATTTATTTGCAAATTGGGAGTTGTTTCTGAACTCGAAGCACTGAGGCACGAAGCCGTGATTCACTTGTTTTTTTTTGAACTTGTGAGTTCTCTATGAGACATTACAGAACTTGCTTCAGTCCATAGGCAGTGCTCAATATGAAGCACCAGGCCCCTAGGACGAGGGTTGCTCTAATTTGCATAATTTCACATGTCACATACGCGCAATCCCAGTACCGTATCATTCTGTATTGTCCACAAAGTGCCATCCGCTCTTTTTCCTTGCCTACTAGCATGTTGCGAAACAAGTTTCATCCCATTCTCCACAGCACTTCAGGGGACACCGGCGTCAAAAAGAAGACCGTGCCCCTTGACAACCTCATGGCACATGAAAACCACATGGCTAACGAAGCGCCGCGCTTCAAAGTAGGGTTTCCAAGACCCCAAACCCTCGACTCTAATGCTTAGACTTACATGATTCCAAAGCCCTGTGCCTTAGTTCTCAAACCCTAAACCATTGTTTGTCAGCCGCTAAGCTTCTTGGTAACTCTCGCGTCCCTCAACTTCGCTGAGGCTTGCCGTTTTCAGCGAGCGCGAAGGATGTCCGAAGCTTGGCCTACTGCAACTTACTGTCCCTTACTGGTAGATGGTGGGGGAATGAGGAAATGGCGTACACCCTATGTATATATATATATGTGCCCTATAATACAGTCCCATATTTCTTACTAACCCCTAACAAGTGGTGTTGGTGGGTTTTGAAGCTACACGGTGGGTGTAGTCTTATCGCTAGTGCGACCAGCGGAGGGTCCTATGCGAACTAAGCCCACGCTACACCCCTACCAACCCTACTTGAACCCTATAAGGTAAACTCATGGCCTTAAAACCACGCGCGAAAGCGATTATTTACCTACTTTGGGGGTTTAGGTGAGCTATAGTCTAAATTCCTGAAAGGGGTAATATAAGAGAGTATATAGGGGAATATAGTTGAGCTTACTGAGGGGGATACTTTGGATACTGCCCCCACCCTGTAACAGTTGGATAAAATCTATAATATACTTATGTATATCCCTTAGTATGACCCCTAGTATGGACTGTTACAGGGTGGGGGCAGTACCCAAGGGATACTAGGAGATTTTAAGTACAGCTCATATGAAAAAGTTTGGGGATGGTTTATCGTGTCATGCAGATTACCTCTTCTCCTCCTCCGGATAAGCAGGCCAAATATAATACCGGTATGTACTAGGGGGAATATTTGCGATGAGGGGTGTTTGGGAGCTTCATTCATTGAGGGAGGCGACTTCAGAGGTTCCTAGCCAGTTTACAGAGCATTCTTCGATTTGGACTTAAGCCGGGAAGTGCAGAGGTTCGGGGTTTTGGGATGTTTGCGGCAGAGCAGCTGGATGTTTTCTAGCGGTGGGAGATTACAGTTCTCCTTCGGATCAAAGTCGATGAATGATAAGACCTACTTGCTTAGTGGGATAAAGACTGCCAATTCTACTCGGGGATGTTCTCAAAACTATGGGCCCCTGTTGGTTACAGACTATATTACGGCACCTGATATTTTGGGGTACCACAATTGGGACCCTAATTTTGCCATTTACTGACTTTTGTGTCCTGCCCAGAATTAGTTGCAGCAACTCCTCTGCCTTGGCCACAGGTCTGCGATTTCTTTGCAGAGTTTGGCGTGATGGAGGTAAGGGCTGCGTCAATTATCAGCTTGTGGGCCAAGTGTCGGTTTAGGGTTTAGGGTTTAGGGTTCAGGGTTTAGGGTTTAGGGTTCAGGGTTTAGGGTTTAGGGTGCTGGGTGCTTGTGGGCCAAGTGTCGGTTAAGCTTGGTATTGCACGGCCCTTAGCTGTAATGTAGAAGACTGGGATGTTAGCGTCTTAGTATTTGCAATGAGGCATGCCTTCACAAGTATTCTACTGGTTAGCCCTTACAGTGGAATCTTAGGAGGACATTTTTGCGCATGAGGTGGAGAATGAATCTAGGGTTTGTAATTCCAGTTTTCATCGTCATCATGTGCGTATCCCACGTGCTGAGAGTTTAGAGTTTGGGGGCTTAGGGTTCAGACTGTAAGAGCTCACGTGTAGGGTTCAGGGTACATTACAGGGAGACTTGAACTCACGGTGCATTGATTTGTGGGACATTGCTGTTAGAAGCATATTGTTGTTCATCCAAATGCTTCTGATTGGTCAGGCCCCTACCTGTTTAGCAGCCAGGCTCCCAACAACTTGCAGAAGCCTAGGCAGCATCAATTGTTCTGAGGTGTTTAGGACTGCTAGGCTTCTGTAGTCCCCCCTGTTGTTGCAGAGCAAGCGATGGATGC